TGTTCTACTCTATGATGTAATAGTGTGGATAAGCACCGCCTCCGCAGAAAAAGATGCGTCATAAAGTGAATCCCTCGACATCACTGCCTGTTTAGCCCCGCCCACCGATCCTACAGCACTGCCTGTTTAGCCCTGCCCACCGATCCCACAGCACTAACTGTTTAGCCCCGCCCACCGATTCTACAGCGCAGCCTGTTTAGCCCCGCCCACCGATTTTAATTCGCTGACTGTTTAGCCCTGCCCACAGATTCTACATCGCTGCCTGTTTAACCCCGCCCACAGATCCTACAGCACTGCCTGTTTAGCCCCGCCCACAGATTCTACGTCGCTGCCTGTTTAGCCCCGCCCACCGATTCTACATCACTTTTATCAAAATAATAATACAAATTCTACTATAAATAATGAGTGCCTTCCTTCTGATCCCAACGTTAGGAAAGATTGAATGGACTATTTTTAATGAAGATCCAGACCGCGTCATTAACAACTTGGTTCTTTGTTCACTTCGTTTGAAACTAAAAGACGATGCTGTGCGACTATATTGGATTCGGCAGTATTGTCACAACAAACAAGTGTGAATAACTGTTTTTATTACGTGCTCACTATTGCTTTGTCTGTTAAAGCAATAAATGAGTAACTTTCTTCTGCATTTGATCCATCTTTATATAATATCTATATTAGGGAAACATCTAAGATGAAGTTGAAACTGCAATAAAACTAAACTGAGAGCTGACGTTCACCCCAAAATGATAATTCTCTCATGATATTCTCTCATCTTTCTTCTGTGGGAAATATTTTGAAGAACTTTGGGAACCAAACAACATTGGACCCCATTGACTTTCACTGTGGACAAAGGCATTTTTCAAAATATCTTCTTTTGTGTTGCAGTTTTGGGTGAATTATTCCTTCCTTGACTTTCCTTTCCTCAGGTTTTGCTAAAGACGTTTGACTCCTTATTTTCTCCTTGATCTCTTCACGTGGAGACACTTGATCCCGTCCAGCATCTCTGTGATAGAACTTTCCTCAACTTCTCAGCTCAGGAAACTTGTGAAGTTCATTCAGGACGTTCCTTATGAAGGCACCTTGTGAAATAAGGCCAGTGGAGAGGCGTTGGCTGCGGGACATTCAGGAGAAATACTCTGAGGAACCGAGTGTGTGTGTGTGTGTGTGTGTGTGTGTGTGTGTGTGTGTGTGTGTCGCTCGTGAAGCGCAGACAAGCGCTCTGTTCTATCTGGGACACTGCGAATTTTTTGAGGAGATGTTGTACTCCCTCTGTTTTCCTCTTCATGTGTTCCTCTCTCTCTCTCTCTCTCTGCATCCCTCATCTCATTTGTCATCATGGCCTGATTATTTCAGCCTCTCGGACTCTTTCCAGTCTGCTAACCTTCCTCCTCGCGCTCCTGCTGTGGTGTGAGAGCGAATAAAGGTCCGGCACAGAACGGCTCCTGTTCTCGTACTATCATGCTGCAGTTTTAACCCACTTCTCAACTATTGTCCTGTAGAGGCTTTATCACCTGTGTCCCTGAGTTTTTTGATTTTTCACAGGTGTTTCACCCATATTTTGAAGTGTGCATTGCGTTTTGTTTCAGGAAAGCTAAAGGAAATGTCTGTAAATGTAAATGTAAAGAACAGATCCTGGCAGAGAATTAGCAGTACTTCTCTGTTTTTCCACAGTTTTGCATTGTTTTGCTTACAGTGTAAAAACTCACTCTTCTGTGTGTTTGTGCCTGTCTAAGCAGGTTTTTGGAGAAAAAACAAACATATTTTTCTTAATTCACACAAAAATGATCATTCTGTCATCATTTACTCCCCTCTTGCCTTCTTTAGCAACACAAAAGAAGATATCTTGAGAAACGTCTGGGGTTTTTATCCCAGTTTTGTTTCCAGCATTCTTCGAAATATCTTCTTTTCCAGAATTTAGTCGCTCGTGCGGGTTTCGACTGACGTGAGGATGAATAAAAGATGATTTGTGTGTGAAGCGCTCTCTTTAATCGGACTGATCTGCGGTTCTCAGACTTCATGAGTCTGACATCCTCACATGTCCCTCGTCTCTCCGCTGACCCTGTGATCTCTAATATGAGTGTGATGCTGTCTTTGTCAGAGTGAATGGAGAGCGGCCAGATCTATAATAGATGTGGTGATGATTGGCTCTCAGACCTGCGGCCTCTTACAGACGGGAAATGAGCTCTGAAGTGCTCACACACACACACACACACACACTCACACTCACTCACTCACTCACACACACACACACACACACACACACACACTGCTCAGAGAGTCCTCACAGCATCTCATGAGTATATAATGAGAACGAGGGACTCAGTGTGAAATGGAAACTTCATTCCTGTGATCAGCAGCTGAACCGAACTACTCGTGTTATTTTAGTGTCACTGACATACTATTATACAGTATGTTTTTATTATATTTCCAATTTTTAATAATATTTTGAATTATATTTTGCATTCATATTTTGTATTAATAATTTTTGTTAAATTTTTTGCGATTTTGTTGTGTGTTTGTCATTTTAGTTTTGTTTTACTTTATTTCTGAATAAAATATAAAAAAGTTATGAATATTTCAAATGTGATTAAAGTTTTAGTAATGTTGTTTTTATAATCCTTAAAGTTTTTTAAATATGTCTATATAGTTTTTATTAATTTCTATTGCCATTTTAGTTATTTTAATACATCAAGTTAAAATAAGAAATGCTGAAATATTTTTTTACATTTTATTTTCTGATTAAAATATTTAATTCTTTAAATTCTATTTTACATTTTGTTAAAGTTTTAGTTATTTTTAGTAATGTTTTTGTCATTTTTATTTTTTTATGTCTATAGTTTTTATTAATTTTTATTTCCGTTTTAATTTTATTTGATGTTAAACTAAATGGAAATGAGAAATGTTGCCTTGGCAAGTAGCTGATATAAAATAAAAAGTAGTTTTGAATTTATTATATATATATATATATTTGTTTTTTTTTGTATTTAATTTTATTTGACAACATTTATTTTATTTAAAAATATATATATTTTTTTTTAGGGTTTTAGTTTTAGTTACATAATAAACCTGTGCTTCCCTGACTTTGGATTTCAGGAGATTAGATCTCTCCTCTCTGTGTCTTACAATAGTTCGTTAGCAGTGTGATGGACAGATGATTGACAGCTGATGTAGACCGTGTCGACACTTTAATGAAAATGTCCAAATCAGATCATCTCTACAACTTTAATTAGCAAACCTCAATCTGTGAAAGACGATAGCAGAGCTGCTGATGGTGACGATATCTCACACGACTCATCAGTTCACCGGGAGAGCGGTTTGCATGTTAAATGAGAGCTGTGTGATGTCACTTCCTCTGACCTGTGCTCCAGGTACTCGTTCCAGGACGAGGAGGACATGTTCATGGTGGTGGATCTGCTGTTAGGAGGAGATCTGCGCTATCATCTGCAGCAGAACGTGCAGAGTTTTGAATTTATTATATATATATATATATATATATATATATTTGATTTTTTTGTATTTAATTTTATTTGACAACATTTATTTTATTTAAAAATATATATATTTTTTTTTAGGGTTTTAGTTTTAGTTACATAATAAACCTGTGCTTCCCTGACTTTGGATTTCAGGAGATTAGATCTCTCCTCTCTGTGTCTTACAATAGTTCGTTAGCAGTGTGATGGACAGATGATTGACAGCTGATGTAGACCGTGTCGACACTTTAATGAAAATGTCCAAATCAGATCATCTCTACAACTTTAATTAGCAAACCTCAATCTGTGAAAGACGATAGCAGAGCTGCTGATGGTGACGATATCTCACACGACTCATCAGTTCACCGGGAGAGCGGTTTGCATGTTAAATGAGAGCTGTGTGATGTCACTTCCTCTGACCTGTGCTCCAGGTACTCGTTCCAGGACGAGGAGGACATGTTCATGGTGGTGGATCTGCTGTTAGGAGGAGATCTGCGCTATCATCTGCAGCAGAACGTGCAGTTCACCGAGGACGCTGTAAAGCTCTACCTGTGCGAGATGACGCTGGCGCTCGACTACCTGCAGAGCCAGCACATCATACACAGGTGTGTGAGTGTTTGCACTCAGTTTAACTCTATAATCCATCAGCAGCTTCCAGTGATTTACCCGTTTGCCAGAATCACACTCACAGAGCACAGAACACGTTTGAGCAGCGAGTGTGCTTGCTGTCCTTCACTGTAGACTTCAGTCAGGATTCACCTGTATTTACAGTTTTTTCAGCTGCTTGCACTCTAAATCTTCTCTTGTGACACAGTTTCTGAAAGCTGGCACTCAAACAGCAGAAGCACACACCAGATCTACAAAACCAGACACTGATTCTCAGCCTTTTCAATTTCATAAAACACTTTTTGCAATTCTCTATGCAACACACAAAAATCTAACAGGAATTAATATTATTCATATTATTGCAACTTAGAATTAAACTGCTGGTCTCGTCAGGCTAGAGGAGAACGGCACACTCTTTCCCTGTTTAATACTGTAAAGCTGCTTTGACACAGTCTGCATTTAAAAAACGCTGTATATATAACTGATTGACTTGACTATTAAAAAACTGTAATTTAGATGTGAATGAAGATGAGGCCTATGGAACAGACAGTGTCTCTCACAGCCTCAGTTTTACTTTTACATTCATGCATTTGGCAGATGCTTTTATCCTGAGCAACTTTGCCAAATGCATTAAAGCTGTACATCTTCTCAGTTCATGCATTCATAAACATGACGTTGCTATTCTCTTCTGTTTGAGCTACGTTTTCATTCATGTCTATGTGAATATGCCATCTAATTAAGTGTTGTTTTATAATTATTTAATAATATAGTTTTTATTTTACATTAAAGTGATTTTATTTATTTTATTACGCTAGCTTTTATTTTTATTGATTATGTTTAGTTTTAACTTTTTGTTTTGTTTTGTTGTGCTTTTGTCATTTAAAAAAAAATGTATACATTGCTATTTATGTTTAATTTATTTTTATTTTTGTTTTAATTATTTGATTATTCATATTTTAAATTTAGTTAGATTTTTTGTTATTATGTTGTTTTTATCATTATTATTATTATTATTTAATGTTTATATAGTTTTTATTCATTTTATTTCATTAGTTTTAGTTATGTTAGTTAATAAAGTTAAACTAAATTAAAATGAGAAATGTTACATTGGAAACTAATTGAAATAAAATAAGTAGAGTAAGTACATTTTAAGTACATTTTATTTCATTTCAGTCAACATTTATTTTATTTCAGTAATAATAGTAAATAATAGTGATTATTTCGTTTTATAGTAGTAATAATAGTATTTTTTTTTGTTTTATGATTTTAGTTCTTTTGTCTTTTTTATTTTATACATGACTATTTATATTTAATTTATATTTGACTTTTATTTTATTTTAGTTTCAGTCTTAGTTTTAGATTGTATTTATTTCCAGAAACCAGTTTATACTGGACAGAAGAAGAAATGAGCTGAATGTGACTGAAATTCACTGTACTGACATCCTCAATGGTGAAATGATTATTAGTTTGGAATCTTTATTAGAATGAGCTTTATTGGCAGGTATGTTTACACATTATTCACTTTATATTAAAACAATAGAAGTGTATGATGTGTGCTCATTTAGAAAGCTCTGTGTGTTTGTGTGTGTGTGTGTGTGAGTGTGTGTGTGTGATGGTGGTGGATCTGCTGTTAGGAGGAGATCTGCGCTATCATCTGCAGCAGAACGTGCAGTTCACCGAGGACGCTGTAAAGCTCTACCTGTGCGAGATGACGCTGGCGCTCGACTACCTGCAGAGCCAGCACATCATACACAGGTGTGTGAGTGTTTGCACTCAGTTTAACTCTATAATCCATCAGCAGCTTCCAGTGATTTACCCGTTTGCCAGAATCACACTCACAGAGCACAGAACACGTTTGAGCAGCGAGTGTGCTTGCTGTCCTTCACTGTAGACTTCAGTCAGGATTCACCTGTATTTACAGTTTTTTCAGCTGCTTGCACTCTAAATCTTCTCTTGTGACACAGTTTCTGAAAGCTGGCACTCAAACAGCAGAAGCACACACCAGATCTACAAAACCAGACACTGATTCTCAGCCTTTTCAATTTCATAAAACACTTTTTGCAATTCTCTATGCAACACACAAAAATCTAACAGGAATTAATATTATTCATATTATTGCAACTTAGAATTAAACTGCTGGTCTCGTCAGGCTAGAGGAGAACGGCACACTCTTTCCCTGTTTAATACTGTAAAGCTGCTTTGACACAGTCTGCATTTAAAAAACGCTGTATATATAACTGATTGACTTGACTATTAAAAAACTGTAATTTAGATGTGAATGAAGATGAGGCCTATGGAACAGACAGTGTCTCTCACAGCCTCAGTTTTACTTTTACATTCATGCATTTGGCAGATGCTTTTATCCTGAGCAACTTTGCCAAATGCATTAAAGCTGTACATCTTCTCAGTTCATGCATTCATAAACATGACGTTGCTATTCTCTTCTGTTTGAGCTACGTTTTCATTCATGTCTATGTGAATATGCCATCTAATTAAGTGTTGTTTTATAATTATTTAATAATATAGTTTTTATTTTACATTAAAGTGATTTTATTTATTTTATTACGCTAGCTTTTATTTTTATTGATTATGTTTAGTTTTAACTTTTTGTTTTGTTTTGTTGTGCTTTTGTCATTTAAAAAAAAATGTATACATTGCTATTTATGTTTAATTTATTTTTATTTTTGTTTTAATTATTTGATTATTCATATTTTAAATTTAGTTAGATTTTTTGTTATTATGTTGTTTTTATCATTATTATTATTATTATTTAATGTTTATATAGTTTTTATTCATTTTATTTCATTAGTTTTAGTTATGTTAGTTAATAAAGTTAAACTAAATTAAAATGAGAAATGTTACATTGGAAACTAATTGAAATAAAATAAGTAGAGTAAGTACATTTTAAGTACATTTTATTTCATTTCAGTCAACATTTATTTTATTTCAGTAATAATAGTAAATAATAGTGATTATTTCGTTTTATAGTAGTAATAATAGTATTTTTTTTTGTTTTATGATTTTAGTTCTTTTGTCTTTTTTATTTTATACATGACTATTTATATTTAATTTATATTTGACTTTTATTTTATTTTAGTTTCAGTCTTAGTTTTAGATTGTATTTATTTCCAGAAACCAGTTTATACTGGACAGAAGAAGAAATGAGCTGAATGTGACTGAAATTCACTGTACTGACATCCTCAATGGTGAAATGATTATTAGTTTGGAATCTTTATTAGAATGAGCTTTATTGGCAGGTATGTTTACACATTATTCACTTTATATTAAAACAATAGAAGTGTATGATGTGTGCTCATTTAGAAAGCTCTGTGTGTTTGTGTGTGTGTGTGTGTGTGTGTGTGTGTGTGCGTGTGTGTGTGTGTGTGGGTGTCTGTGTGTGTGAGAGAGAGAGAGAGTGTGGGTGTGTTTGTGTGTGTGTGTGTGTGTGTGTGTGTGTGTGCGTGTGTGTGTGTGTGTGGGTGTCTGTGTGTGTGAGAGAGAGAGAGAGTGTGGGTGTGTTTGTGTGTGTGTGTGTGTGTGTGTGCGCATACCGTCTGCTCGCAGGGATTTGTTGTGTAATTGCATGTTTAGTTCTGCAGGGCTCCTCAGGGAGACAAGGATCCTGTGCCAAATAAAATGTGTGCTTGTCTTGTTTTGGGCCCCTTCACAAATGCTTTAGAACAGAACTGACAGTGAACGCAAGGGACTGAATCTCTCTCTGGCTTTGATAGTGTGTGTGTGTGTGTGTGTGTGTGTGTATTAGTCACATTGTTTTCTCTGCGGTGGATTTCGCTGTATGCTTCTGAAGGAGCGTTTCCTGTCTATAGTATTATTTAGTTGCGCTAAGTTGGGCAGAAGTGTTTCCTAGCAACAGTGTGTCGTGTCACACTGCCACCGAGGTAAAATTAGTCCGAGTGGAGGATTCCTGGAATCAGGAGGGTGAGCGGAGCATCTGGAAACATCTGACAGATCCTGCTCTGGTTAAAGACGGGTAGTTCAGAGCTGATGCTGCAGGGATACTGGTGTTTGTGCTCCAGACATCAGTTGTTCCTCAAATCATGTGTCTGTAGGGGTTTGCTTAAAGGGGTCATATGATGCGATTTCAAGTTTTCCTTTCTCTTTGGAGTGTTACAAGCTGATTGTGCATAGATAAGATGAACCCTTTTGACGAACCACCTAGCAGCCATCCATAACACCCTAGAAACACCCTAGCAACGACCCAGAATAACCTAGCAATCCCATAGAAACACACTAAAAATGTCAGCTGCCTAGAAAACACCGGAACACCATAGAAACACCCTAGCAACGACCCAGAATAACCTAGAAATTCCATAGCAACACACTAAAAACATCAGCTGCTTAGAAACCCCCGGAACACCCTAGAAACACCCTAGCAATGACCCAGAATACCACAGAAATCTCATAGCAACCATTCAGAACAGCATAGAATCACCCTAGCAACACCCTGGTAACACTCTAAAAACATTTCAAGCACTCGAGCAACTGCACAGCAACGCCCTACAAATGACCCAGAAAACCATACTGAAGCAACAGCCTAGCAACCCCCCAGAACACCGTAGAAACACCCTAGCAACACTCTAAAACATTTTAAACAAATGTTTTTAAGACGGACACTTATGCAAATCTACAATATAGCCAAAACAACTCGCTTCTATTCACAACTCACTCCAAAAAGAGGCATCAGTTCTCACCTTAGTTTTCACTATGTCAAATGACATCATATGTCGTAACTGGACTCTCTCTTGAACTCGTGTACAGGAGTTGCTGGAAGTCAGTGATAATAGTTTATAGAGTTGTAAATATGGATGTGTTCCCATCACTTGGCTTCAGAAGGCATTCATTAACCCACTGGAGTCGTATGGATTACTTTGATGATGGATGGATGCGCTTTTTGGAGCTTCAAAAAATTGGCCACCATTCACTTCCATTACGAAGCTGTGAAGAGTGTGAGGATATTATGTAATATAACTCTTTGTCTGAAAGAAGAAAGACATTCACTGTACACATAGGATGGCTTGAGTGTGAGTAAATGATGGGATCATTTTCATTTTTGGGTGAACTATTCCTTTAAGGATGCAGTAGATTGTTTTGAAGAATGTGATGTGTTGCAATTGCATCACTGCTCTATGCCTGTGTGTGTGTGTGTGTGTGTGTGTGTGTGTGTCACAGCTCTGTGTGAATTAATCCTGTCATGCTCTCTGGCATCTTCATGACAGCAGGGGAACGGCTCTCTGTTAATGGCGTATTATCATATTGTAACATTTGCTAATATTTTTATTCAAAACCGTGATTGCTTGATTTAAAACAATCGTGGGGAAACATTGCTTTTGAATTTATTGCTAAAATCTAAAAAAAACACCCAGCCCTAGTTGTTAATGTGTTCTGCTGGTTTTTTAGTATATTGTTTTGCAGTTGCTAGGGTGTTTTTGGGTGGTTGGCAGGGTGTTGCCGTGACACTTATATGTGGTTGCTAATGAGGCCTAACTTAGATATATGAGGAAGCCTCATTTTAAATGTGTATTTTCTAGACCTGGAAAAGTCATGGATATTAATCAAATCTTAAAATGCCAAAATTCTAAAATATTTTATCACTTAGAAATTGCGAGTATAAAATATTTTTAATAATCCTTTCCCTAATCCTGATCCAGTAAATCAGAAAAAACTGGGAAAGTCATGCAAATGTATTGGTTAAAAAGAGCAGGAACCCTGAAGAACATTCAGCTTCTAAAGCTTCAGGAAAGCTGAGATTTAATGCAAAAGTGTTCTGGACTGTTGAAGGCCTTGGAGTCAGTGTTAGATAAACATAAAGAATATTTTTCTATGTTATTGTTATATTCTTTATTTTAAGAGTGATTGTTATTTGATATACAGTTTGCATATTCTGTGATATTTGTATTGCATATGGGTCATTTCATAGATCAATTTTAATTTCATACGTAATACGTATAGGTAAGCCACCATTTTTAGTTTGAACCTGAAGAAGAAGGAAGGGGCTTGGTGTTAGACAATCTTTTGACCGTTCTTTGAAACCATATCTAATTTGAAGCTTGAAAAAGTGTAAATAGTTCTTAAAGGGTTAGTTCACCCAAAAATGAAAATTAGGCTTTGTTTTATTCACCCCCGAGGCATCCTAGCTGTATATGACTTTCTTCTTTCAGACGAATCCAGTCGGAGTTATGTTAAAAATGGTCCTGGCTAATATTATATTTCACATATATAAATTAAATATGGTTATTTTTCTTACAAAAAAATGCATGGATTCGCTACAGGAGGCCTTTGTTCACCCCCCGGAGCCGTGTGAGACACTTTTTTATGGATGGGCGCTTTTTATTTCACTTCTTTTGGACTGATGCATGCAACACCGGCTGACGGCAATGATAGAGCTTGGAATAGCCAGGACAATTTTTAACATAACTCCGACTGGATTCATCTGAAAGAAGAAAGTCATATACACCTGAACTAAACCTTTAAGTTAGATTTGTTTTATTAGATTTTTTTTGTATCCTGACAAACAAAAAGCAAACTGTTACACTGCAAGTTTTTGGTTTTACGCATCAAATGCTTTGTGCTGGTCTCTGTGGAAATGGTGGAGAACGGAAAGGTATAGATGGCCATTAAGGTCAGTAAGCTTGAGAACCACTGATCTAACTAGAACGTTAAACTAAAACATTGAACTGTCAGTCAGACGGCCTCCTCTTGTCTTGAGTGGCAGTTCTTGTTTTGAATAGCTGGACCAGACATTGTTTTGTTAGTCGAAGTCTGACTGTGTAGCTCACATCCCGTCATAATCATGCTCTGAATGCATGTGTGTTCTCCTGACAGCTCCAGAGATCTTCCAGTCGTTCGTGAGCGGGGGAACCGGTTATGCGTTCGAGGTGGACTGGTGGTCGCTGGGCGTGACGATCTTTGAGGTTCTGCGAAGTTGGGTAAGTTTTTTTTTTTTACTTATGTATTTTTTGCAGTAATGTCTTCACTGATGAAAAGTCCAGAATTGCAATTCCCAAAAGCATGATTGTAGAGAACCTCGGTGGCAATGGTTTCTACGATCTACTGATGCTTCCGATGGTTTTCCGACTGGTTAGCCACCAGTAAATCTTGTGTTTGGACTGAAGTCTCAAGCCGGGGAATGCTGACATGCTGGTGCTTAACTAGCTTAACCTCTTTGGTCAACCATCTTTACCAGCTAAGCTTTGCTGGTTTGCAACCCTAACCCTATAAACCAACCTCTAACCCTAACCCTAACTGTGCAGATTCATACAGAGTTTCAGCAGGACCAAAGCTAACGGGGAACGCTCTCTCAAACTGCCAGCATTTTTTATCATTTTCACAAAAATTTCATAGATATTTTGTTGTATCAATATCTGAACATGCAATATGTCAAAGGAAAGAACAGAACCTTTGCTTTCAAACGAACAAACCGTTTTATTCTAGCTCCATGCATTTTTTTTTATTAACACTTGAATGTCGGTGAGTGATTTTAAACAAAAAGCTGAGAAAACGATTACCGATTACAAAGGGGGTTACATAAAAAATATTCCCACACATTCCCACATACAGATTTAATTTATTGCTTTCCTAAATTGCACTGACTGCTCTAAAATATGAGACAGCAATGTTTCAGGAGTTTAGGACACATGCTTATTTGATAAAAGTTTTATTTCCTATTTGGGTTGATTTCAAAAACAGAATCAAAGCTACTAACTGTTTCTTGTTATGATTTTAAATCTGTATTTACCTCAGAATGATCTCTGGATGAGGAGCTGAAGTCTGATTTTGTGGTGGCTGTGCTTTAAAAATAAATGATTTAAATCGTAATTTCAAGCGATGAAGGATTCTGAAAGTCTGACAGTAATCAGTGTTGAGCACTACTGTAAAGTTAACCCTGCCTGCTTTACATGTTTCAAAATGATTAACAGTTGAAAACATTCATTGGAAATTTAGAAAAGTAATCAAAAAGTAATCAAATGTAACAGTTACTTTACTTTAATAAAGTAGCTGAAATAGTTACACTACTTGAGATTTCAGTGTTTTAGAAACATTTCAAAACAGTGTTTTTATAATGCAAATTCGTTACACATTAATGTCTCTCTCTGTCTGTCTCTCAGAGGCCGTACGACATCCACGCCAGTAACTCGGTGGAGTCTCTGCTGCAGCTGTTCAGTACGGTCAGTGTGCAGTACAGCTCGTCCTGGCACAAAGACCTCGTCTCGCTGCTGAGGAAGGTGAGATGAACAGAACATCACGAACATACACAACGAATGCTCCAGATGAAGAACCAACACCCTTGCAGGAACTGCCCATAACACCCAGCATGGTGTCATAGACTTACACGGGCAAACCCCACTCACATATACTTATGACAGTGTAAATCTAGTTGGATGCTGTCAAGATATTCTCGATGGTTGCTAAGGTTTTCTTTGATCTTTACTGGGGTGGTTGCTATGGAGTTTTGACAGGACATTGAGGTTGTTAATGTGTTCTGTTTGTTTCTAGCATATTGCTTTGCAGTTGCTACTGCAGGGCTGTCCAAACTCGGTCCTGGAGGGCCGGTGTCCTGCAGAGTTTAGCTACAACTTGCCTCAACACACCTGACTGGAAGTTTCTATGCCTAGTAAGAGCTTGATTAGCTGGTTCAGGTGTGTTTAATTAGGGTTGGAGCTAAACTCTGCAGGACACCGGCCCTCCAGGACCGAGTTTGGACAGCCCTGTGCTAATGTGTTCTAGGTGGTTGCTCTGGTGTTTGGGTTGATTATTAGGGTGTTTTGGGGGGTTGCTGAACATCTCTATGTGGTTGTTAACATGTTCTGATTGTTTTTAGCACATTGCTTTGAATTGCTAGGGTGTTTTGAGTGGTTTCTAGGGTGTTCTAGGTGGCTGCTAGGGTGTTCTAAAGTGTTACGAGGTTGTTTTGGGTGGTCGCCAGGACGTTTTTGTGTGGTTGTTCTGATTGTTTTTAGCACATTGCTCTGCATTTGCTAGGGTGTTCTACAGTAGGTGGTTGTTAGGGTGTTCAAGGTGGTTGCTAGGGTGTTCTATGTGGTTGTTTGGGTGTTCTAAGTGGTTGCTAGGTTGCTTTGAGTGGTTGCTAGGGTGTTCTAGGTGGTTGTTAGGGTGCTCAAGGTGTTTGCTAGGGTGTTCTAGGTGGTTGTTTGGGTGTTCTAAGTGGTTGCTAGGCTGTTTTGAGTGGTCGCTATTGTGTTTTAGATTTTTAATTGGGTGTTCAATGTGGTTGTTAGGGTGTTCAAGGTGGATACTATGGTGTTCTAAGTGGTAGGTTGTTTTGAGTGGTTGCTATCGTGTTCTAGGTGGTTTCTAGGGCGTTTGGGTAGTTGTTTGGGTGTTCCAAGTGGTTGCTAGGTTGTTTTGAGTGGTTGCTATTGTGTTTTAGATTTTTAATAGGGTGTTCAATGTGGTTGTTAGGGTGTTTAAGGTGGTTGCTAGGGTGTTATAGGTGGTTGTTAGGGTGTTCAAGGTGGTTGCTAGGGTGTTCTAGGTGGATACTATGGTGTTCTAAGTGGTTGCTAGGTTGTTTTGAGTGGTTGCTATTGTGTTCTAGGTGGTTTCTAGGGTGTTTGGGTAGTTGCTAGGGTGTTCTAGGTGGTTGCTAATGTGTTCTGATTGTTTTACCACATTGATCTGCAGTTGCTAGGGTGTTCTATGTGGTTGCTATGGTGTTGCTATGGTGTTCTAGGTGGTTGTTAAGGTGTTCAAGGTGGTTACTAAGGTGTACTAAGTGATTGCTAGGTTGTTTTGAGTGGTTGTTATTGTGTTTTATATGGATAATAGGGTGTTCAAGGCTGGTTGTTAGGGTGTTTAAGGTGGTTGCTAGGGTGTTCTAGGTGGTTGTTAGGATGTTCAAGGTGGTTGCCAGGGTATTCAAGGTGGTTACTAGGGTGCTCTAAGTGATTGCTAGGTTGTTTTGAGTGGTTGCTAGGGTGTTCTATGTGGTTGTAAGGGTGTTCAAGGTGGTTGTTAGGGTATTCTAGGTGGTTGCTAGGGTGTTTGGGGTAGTTGTGAGGGTGTTCTAGGTGGTTTCTAGGGTGTTTTGGGTAGTTGCTAGGGTGGTTCTGGGTGCTAATATGTTCTGATTGTTTTACCACATTGATCTGTTGTCGCTAGGGTGTTCTAGGTGGTTGCTAGGGTATTGTGGGTGGTTGCTATGGTGCCGTTTTTAGGGGAGTTCTTTCTGGCCCGAGTTGGAAAAGCCTTTACCTCAACAAACTGCGTTAATAAGGATGAAATGGACAGAAGATGGAGAGAGAGAAATGAAAACAGACAGATCGCAGATGGAGTCAGAATGAGTGAAGAGAGGATAAAACACTCTAATGATGCAGGAGAGAATAAAGGGAAGGATTGAGAGAAAGAGGAGGAGGAGATGATAATGAGCTGGAGAGATAATAAAACAAGATGAATGAAGGAAACGAGTGTCGCTCTGCTGGAGCGCTGGAGAGAGAGAAGAAATATTATGAGAGGAGAATAGATATTGGTGAAGAACAGAGAGACATTGCAGTAATTTATTAGAGCTGAGAGATATGGGGAGATTATACTGTGTGCATGAATCACTGGAGAAGAGCATTGTGGGTAGGATGAACTGAAGTGTGCACAGGAAGTGTGTTGTTCAGAACTTCCTCTTTCCGCTCAGCAGTTCTCTGTTTTATTTCATTGAAGTGTCAGTTTGATCCAGGTGTTTCCTAGACATACAGACACAAATGAGTCAATGATCCGATTTCATCTTAAGATCGCTTACCTTTGTGTGCAGATTTTGGTATATCGGCCAATTTGAGCACACTTTGAGACATTGTTGAAATCTCTTCTAAAATGCTCACATGTGAGACTGAATCATTTGTTTATTTTATTTTATTATTTTTTATTTTATTTATTTATTTATTTTTATTATTTTTTTTATATATATTTTATTTTATTTTATATTTTATTTTATATTTTTAATTTAATTTAATTTAATTTAATTTAATTTAATTTTAGTTTAGTTTAGTTTAGTTTAAGAAAGAGGAGGAGGAGATGATAATGAGCTGGAGAGATAATAAAACAAGATGAATGAAGGAAACGAGTGTCGCTCTGCTGGAGCGCTGGAGAGAGAGAAGAAATATTATGAGAGGAGAATAGATATTGGTGAAGAACAGAGAGACATTGCAGTAATTTATTAGAGCTGAGAGATATGGGGAGATTATACTGTGTGCATGAATCACTGGAGAAGAGCATTGTGGGTAGGATGAACTGAAGTGTGCACAGGAAGTGTGTTGTTCAGAACTTCCTCTTTCCGCTCAGCAGTTCTCTGTTTTATTTCATTGAAGTGTCAGTTTGATCCAGGTGTTTCCTAGACATACAGACACAAATGAGTCAATGATCCGATTTCATCTTAAGATCGCTTACCTTTGTGTGCAGATTTTGGTATATCGGCCAATTTGAGCACACTTTGAGACATTGTTGAAATCTCTTCTAAAATGCTCACGTGAGACTGAATCATTTGTTTATTTTATTTTATTATTTTTTATTTTATTTATTTATTTATTTTTATTATTTTTTTTATATATATTTTATTTTATTTTATATTTTATTTTATATTTTTAATTTAATTTAATTTTATTTTATTTAATTTTATTTTATTTTATTTTATTTTATTTTATTTTATTTTATTTTATTTTATTTTATTTTATTTTATTTTATTTTATTTTATTTTATTTTATTTTATTTTATTTTATTTTATTTTATTTTATTTTATTTTATTTTATTTTATTTTATTTTATTTTATTTTATTTTATTTTATTTTATTTTATTTTATTTTATTTTATTTTATTTTATTTTATTTTATTTTATTTTATTTTATTTTATTTTATTTTATTTTATTTTATTTTATTTTATTTTATTTTATTTTATTTTATTTTATTTTATTTTATTTTATTTTATTTTATTTTAAAGGTTACCAAGGCATAATTTCTCATTTTTGTTTAGCTTAACTGGATGTACTAAAATAATTCAAACTAAGACTGAAAGAAAAAAATTATATAGACATTAATCAAAAAACAAGAATAAAATTACTTTTTAAAAAAAGAAAGTTTAGCTCAAATTAAAATGAAAACAAGATCTAAAAATAAAAAAAATTAAGAGAAATTAAGATTTTCATGAGATCTCATTTGGAAACATAAGTAAAATTAACATTGTTTTTTGGGGGTTTTTTTACGTATTGGTTATATTTTTTTATTTTAATTCCAACATAATGTAATACATTTTTTAATCTGTATAAAACACTGATGTAGGAGACTGAGTTTTTACTATCCTAACTAAACTGATCGGTTCTCAGAATCCAAAGCAGTAGTGTCGTTCTTCAGCTCCAGTCAGTTCAGTTCCAGCGCTGATGTTGCTAAATCCATCAATTATGACTATTAGATTCAGCTATGCATGTAAAGATAAAGAATCTGTTCCTGCCACATCTATCAAAACCTCAAGTTTCTCCTAAATAGCATTAATATTAAATGCAAAATTTTTTAATCTGTATAAAACACTGATGTAGGAGACTGAGTTTTTACTATCCTAACTAAACTGATCGGTTCTCAGACTTCAGACGAAGCCGAATCCAAAGCAGTAGTGTCGTTCTTCAGCTCCAGTCAGTTCAGTTCCAGCGCTGATGTTGCTAAATCCATCAATTATGACTATTAGATTCAGCTATGCATGTAAAGATAAAGAATCTGTTCCTGCCACATCTATCAAAACCTCAAGTTTCTCCTAAATAGCATTAATATTAAATGCAATGCGCTTGTGAGGGATTGCTTATGCTCCTCTATTGTAGGTTGCTGTCGATAAGTAGATCTGTTAAATGCATAAATGTAAATGTGAAGTTTTCTTGCTTTTCTCCTGAGAAAAAGACCCAAGTTTTCTCGGATGTGAGTGTTTTAGGAGTTTCAAACCGTGCTCAAATTGGCTGATATACAAAGTCTGCAATCAAAAGAGATAAACCCGTTCCCTCATTAGTGTCTGTATGTCTCCTAAGAATCAAACGGATACTTAAATGAAACCCGAGATCTCCTGAGCTGAAAGAGGAATTTCCCCAGCTAACCAAAATATGTTGAAAGACATTGCTAACATTCCCATTAAAGTTATGAAAACATTATTTCTGATTGTTCTCTGAACATTCAAGCTGAATGAAACTTAAAAAACATTATATAAACGTCCAACGTTTCAGAAATATGTTCCATGATTAATGTTTTGAGAACAGAGATCAAAGGCCAGATAAATCTGAATGAACATTTTATTAATGTTACTGGAAGAATATGTTCATAACTTTTGGCAGAATGTTCCTGTTAGCTGGGTCTGTGCATTCTGAGCAAGTTAATAAATGTTTTTAATTTTGTTTAATTTAGCTCTTTATATCCTGTTTTACTCAGAAATATGTCACATTACAGAAGTCAGGTGTGGTGTGAATGCTTCTATGAATAGGAATATGCATTGATGTTTGTGTGTGAGTGAGAAGTGTGGTTGGTTGGTTTGTTGGACTGTCCTGATGGTGTTTGTCCTGGATGTGCTTGTGTTTCTGTAGTTATTGACTGTAAACCCAGAGCATCGCTTCTGTAGTCTGGCTCAAATGCAGACGGCGCCCTACCTCTCCGATGTCAACTGGGACGACGTTTATGAGAAGAAGATGGAGCCCGGCTTTGTTCCCAATGTGAGATTGAGTTCAACTGGTGACCGCTCTCACACACACACACACACACACGCACACGCACACACTCACGCACACACACACACACACACACACACACACACACACACACACACACACACACACACACACAC